AAAAAAAAAAAAAATACAAAAAATTAGCCGGGCGTGGCGGTGTGAGCCTGTAGTCCCAGCTGCTGGGGAGGCTGAAGCAGGAGAATGGAGTGAGCCTGGGAGGCGAAGCTTGCAGTGAACCGAGATCGCACCACTGCACTCCAGCCTGGGAGACAGAGCGAGACTCCATCTCAAAAAAAATACTAATCATATTTGTTGCCTATAGGATGGAGAACTTGTCTGTTTTGTGTAGGGGTATAAAAGGAATCACAGTTTACCACATAGCTCAGCTGTGAATTTTTATTCATACCAATTAAATTATACTGGGAGATGGAAGATAGTAAGAGAACATGGTGGTTGGGGCCAAGGGATGAACAGGGAGTTGACTTGTCACAATGTCAATAGATAATGCCTGCATCTGAAATAAAAGCATATAAGCATGTAGTTTACAGAAATAGATGTAAATATCAAAAGAATGAACTTATAGTTGAATAATGATTGCCTCTGGAAAGAGGAAAACAGAGAAAAAGCAAGGCACTCAGAAGAATTGTGTACATATATGAGTATATATATATATGTACATTGTGAGATTATGTACATATATAACTTGGATAAAAATAAAAAAGAACTAACGGTGTAATTTTAAAAAATTAAGAAACTAGGTATCTAACACTATCGGAAAATTTCCCAAATGAAACTTTTACATGATTCATTTTGTATTCTCTAAAAGGCTTTGGTAACATTATGAAAGCTCATAATACAAAAATAAGTAATGCAATAAAATAATCAATGATACAATCAAAACTGGAAAGTGAGGAGGAAGGAAAAAAGAAGAAAAAAACGACAACATTAGCAAGACTCCACCTTAAAAAAATAAACTAAAATATATTATATGTTTGTTCTTTTCCACATTGTACCTAGATAATTCCCAAATTTGACAGATCAAAACAGAGGTTTAAGCATATGTATACTTTTTAACATTGTCAATATTTTATATCTTTAAATAATTTTTTGGAACATATTTTAAAGACCCCTTGGTATTTAACAGTATAGATATGCCACCCCTTATTTAACAACCTGAGGCTCTATGATGTGTAATGGTATTCCATTTTAAATATAATATATTTTAGAGGTTTTTCGTTTGTTTTCCTTTTTTTTTTTTTCTTTTCTTTTAAAGTGGAGTCTTGCTATGTTGTTCAAGCTGGTCTGCAACTCCTGGCTCAAGCTATTATCCTATCTCAGCCTCCCAAGTAGCTGAGATTAGGGGAACATGCCACCACGCCTGGCTTAATAATATTTTTTAAAGTTTTATTGTTAACTACTATAATTGAGAACAGCAGTTAATATGAAAAGCTCCAATCACATTAGGAAATTCGGTATGGAATTATATCACTGACTGTAAAACATAACAACATATTTATCATTAAGAAGAGACTGATTCATTAGTCAATAAAAGGAGGTTATTGACCTATAATGAAAAAAAAATTAAATATGTACTTACATCACATGATATTTTCAGTTCACTGATTAAACTGGACATATTTCAAGCTATAGTAATTAAGAGTGCCCAGTAATAAAAGGACTAAAGGAAGTTACCTAAATTGAAATGGACTCTTCTACATACGGTAGCTCCAAAACTAAGGTATGTTAAGTAGGGATGAATGTATGTTATATTTTGTGATCTTTCATATTGAACATATCATCATAATAAATATATCAATTTATCTGCATTGTCTTCTGTTTCTTAAGTATATGCCCCAACTTGCAAACAAGATTGCAAATTCTTTAAATACCATGCTAAAGACCTTGCCTCCAAACTTGTCCTCTCCAAATGTCCACACACAAATTCTTCGCACAGAGCTCAACCTGATCAATTGAGACATAATCATTAAGTACCAATAAAAACTTGCTGGGTCAAACTGCATACTGGATCCCTAAATTTCCCAGCAACTCCAAATCTGTGCAGTGTCTTTATAAATTAAACATATCAAAAATGTATCTGTTGGCCAGGCGCGGTGGCTCATGCCTGTAATTCCAGTACTTTGGGAGGCTGAGGCAGGTGGATACCTGAGGTCAGGAGTTCAAGACTACCCTGGCCAACATGGCAAAACCCCATCTCTACTAAAAATACAAAAATTAGCTGGGTATGGTGGTGCACACCTGTAATCCCAGCTACTCAGGAGGCTGAGGAAGGAGAATCACTTGAACATGGGAGGTGGAGGTTGCAGTAAGCCGAGATGGCACCACTACACTCCAGCCTGCCTGACAGGAGTGAAACTCAATCTGAAAAAAAAAAAAAAAGAATCTCTTTTATAAAGTGTCTCTTTTTATGCTTGTAAGTTCACAAGTATATCATATTTGATATTAGTGTGTAGTACTAAAAACAAGAAAACAGCAACTCTTATCAAGCATTAATTTCTCAGAATCTTTCTAAAACACATAAAACTCAAACATCATAGGAAATTAGTTGACATGGATAATGAGATATTAAAGGTATTCACAAGATCCAATAATACTGATTTCTATTAATATTTAGAGATGGGATAGAACATTATTTCATAGAAGTATTTGAAAAAGAATAAATGGGGGCAATGTTTCTTTTATTTATTTGTGTATTTATTACCTCATTTCCATCTTCATTAATTATTGAGATGTAGTTGGGATGAGTCTTATTTGGGTAGGACAACAGGACATCATAATGAGTTAGCTCAACAGAATCCAGGCCAAATTCTTTCCACTGGGATTGAATTTGCTTTGCAAGTTGAAAGTTTTGTTCTGTTCCTGCTAAATGTGGTATCTGTGTAAAATTACTGGTGAACAAAAATTGAAACTGGTTAGATATTAATGTTTAATCAACTTTTATTCCAAATCAACAAAATAAAGCAGAGTTACACAAAAATACTTTGAAATGTGGTATGTTAAAACATTAAAGTGGTACTATTATTGCATGAAATAGATTTTCAAAGTCTGCTTTGAAATCTTTATGTTCTAATTTGTACTAAATCAAGAGAAAAATTGATCTTTGTATCATTATGTGTAATCCTATGACTATAGTCTCATATGGTAGATTAATAAAGTGTCATATTCTTTCTTAAGACCTATACTTCTTGGAACTTACATGGAATTATCTGTCTATATCACTGTGTAAATTATTGAAACAGACAAAAATATTTTATCCCAAAGACCAAGGTGTGACATGGCAAGAATTACTAATAATTACACTTATTTAAATAGTGAGAATTATACACAAGCGATAAACTGTTTGACTAGCAACCATTTATAAAGTATCTTCATCAAAGAATAATCTGAACATACTGACACAAGTTCAGAATGAATCTCTTGCACTTCATCTATAATACAGAGTAACACACTTAAAATCAATGACAGTAATTAGTCTGAAGAATAATATCTTTAACAAAGAAATTATGTGGCCAAAATTTGGCTACCAGGAATATTTTCAGTAGACTAATTTCTCATTTAATATATTTAGATTCTGGTGCTTTTGATTGTTTTAAATTTCTCCCTCCTGGGAAATTTCTTGTTTCCCTGAAGAGCTCATTGGTTAGTATTTTTAACTTAAGCCCTTAAATATATGACAAGATATTATGTAGTATGAAAATATGTGTGTATATATATAGTTCATAAACTTTTGGAACTTCATAAATTTCTAGTTTTAAATATGTAGTTTTATAAAATCAACATAATTCCATCCTTATGATGACTTTAAAAAAAAAAAACTAATAACCAACACGGCTATGATAATCCCAGTTTCAAGTTTCATTCTACCATGTGTTTTAATTTTTTTCATTTGGTGAATCAACAATGAATTAAAGTAACTCAATTTTTTAAAACTGGAATTTCCTGTAACTTGTTTACTTTTAATAATTATATTAAAGTTATTTAAATTGTATTTATAAAAATAGTATTAAAATCCTCATTTGGTAAATGTTTAGGGGCAAACTATCTTACACAGAATTTCTAATATGGAAAATATTGTAACAAAAAGAGCACAAACATAAGAGCAGCTAAGGAGTCTCTATCCCTTATCAGTGAGCACCTGCAGGGAAAACAGAAAAACAGCCAACATGTCACTATTTTCTTGAATATTACAAAGATCACAAACTGCAATGTAACTAATGTAGGATGCAGATTTCCCCAAGTGCCAGCTATACCTCTGTCCCTACAAGCAAAAGGAATTACCATGGAGAATCTTGAACCTACTCACAAAAAAGCAGGAGAAAATCATGATAAGGCTCTGCTACTATAAGTGAATTTTCCTGTAACAGTCTTGTCACTACCAACTAGGAAACAACATTTTGCTGTGATCAGGGTTGGCACTCACTCATTTGAACAAAACACGTCCTGGAAAAGATTAGTACGAAAGAAAGATCCAATGCAAATACTAAATAAAATAATTAGCATAAATCCTGTAAGTGGTATAATACAGGTGTTATCATTAACTCAGTATGTAACCCCAGCTGTGTCTTGAATTTCTCATCTGTACATGGGGAGAACATCACTATCTCGTTACTTCACAAAGACTTGAGGCTCAATTAGATTGTGTATTAAATAGCACTTCTCAATGATTTTAATCACTTGAGATGTTGTGTCACAAGTGATTGAACCTACTAGAATATCAAATTTTGCAAAAAATAAATAAATAAGAATAATAATAAAAAAATGCTAATTTACAAATTTTCCCAAATAGCCAAATTCTGTTTATAGATCACTGTAGGGCTGAGTTTAAATGTGTTTCTAGTATTGTTACATTATCTCAATTTTTTTTTTGCTTTTTTTTGGTAAGAGGCAGAGTCTCATTCTGTTGCCAGGCTGGAATACAGTGGTGGAATCATAGCTCACTAAAACCTGGAACTCCGGCCTCCTGAGTAGATAGGACTACAGGCACATGCCACCATGCCCAGATAATTTTAAAAAATATTTTGTAGAGACAGAGTCTCGCTATGTTGCCCAGGCTGGTCTCAAACTCCTGAACTTAAGGAATCTGCCTGCCTTGTCCTCCCAAAGGGCTGGGATTACATGGGTGAGCCATTATGCCCGACTACATTTTCTCAGTTCTAAAAGAGAGCTACTGTTATTTCTGTTTTAGTACATTTTATCTTGTTTACAAATAATTTGGCAATGTTTCCAAGAGTTAAAGATGACTTGAACGCATTTAGTAAAAGGTGGAATTAGCTGAGCATGGTGGCATGTGCCTGTAGTGCTATCTGCTAGGGAGGCTAGAGCTCCAAGCTGCAGTGAGCTATGATTGTGCCACTGTACTCCAGCCTGGCAACAGAGTGAGACCCTGTCTGAAAAATGAAACAATAATAATAATAATAATTGAGATAATGTGACAATAGTTGGAACATATTTAAACCAGTCTGACAGAGATCTACCAGTTGATTTTTGCTATTCTGAAAAATGTGTAAATTCTTATTCTTACCTTTTTTTTAAACACAATTTGATATTCTAGTATCAATAAATGACTTGTGACACACATCTCAAGTGATGAAAAAATTGAGAAGTATAGTTTAATATGTGATTTCATTGGGCCTATATATCTGTATTCAAATACAGACCAGTAAAATTCTGAGACCAAAAGTCTAAAACACCTTTTAAAACAATCTTATCTTGCAAAACAAGGTGGAAAAGGAAAAATCCCTCTAGAGATGCAAAATGGTAAACAGATCTCTGAATTCAACTGGATGTTTTCAAAGAAGGGAAAACACATACAACCCTGTACCTCAAGGCAGAATGAAAAAAAAAAATGCTCCTAATTAATCCTCCCATTCACTACTGAGGCAGATATTTCAGAAACAGTGGGGGCTTTTACGAGCAGAACAAAGGATTATAAAGAGGGACAAGATGGAAGGTCAGAGGCTTTAATAGTCCCTGACCCATGGGTATATTTTAATTAAAAGCTCTCTGATGGACAAATGGCAAATTGGAAATCTAGAGAGTTTAGGAGGCTTCTAGAGATTCTGTGGTCCTTGGAGGAATGAGAGGAAATTCTTTCAATTTCTTTATTTTGTGTGTTTATGCTGAATATCATCCGGGTAGAGGAGCTTGGTTAGGGACATGGAGAATAAACAAGAAGCTGAGTGCTTAATCTTGCTTGACGGTCCAAAAAGAGAAATAAAGAAAGGCATTTATTTTTCTTCTTTGTTGGTCAATCTATGTCACAAGTTAGTGTTACAGGTAGTTAGACAGGAGCAAGGCAGGAGAGGTCTCTCCCCGGGACCCACTAGAATGTCAGGTGATTGTTTGGTTCAGCAATTATCGCATTGTGTTGTTAGGTTCAGTAATTATCGCATTGTCTCTAAAAATGATTCGGCAGTGTCAGGGAGAGGCCAGTTCTTGATGGTCCCCACCTGCTAACACCAAACTGTTAACTGAATGCAGACTCCAGGGAGAAGCAACTTCCTGGGCATGCGTGTTAGAGACAAAAATGGTATAGTATAATCTTCCGGGTACACTCCACCAGAAAAAGGAAGAGAGCCTCAGATGGGCCTGTGTATACTTTCCTACACACATTGCGGGCGCTCACTTCCCAAGGGTTAGCAGGGCTCTGCACATGAGGGCAGCCCAACCTAAGGGAAGAATCATGGGAAAGAGGCAAGCTTAAAAAAGTCCTAGGATCACAGTTAAGTGGGGCACTTGGCCTCTCACCTTCATGTGCCTGCTTGGCTCTCTTCCAAGCGTACCTTCCTTTCTTTCCTGTTATAAGGCCTTTCAAAATAAACTTCCATTCCTGCTCTGGAACTTGCCTCGGTCTCTTTTTCTGCTTTTGCCCCGAGTTGAATTCCTTCTTCTGAAGAAGCAAGGACTGAAGTTGCTACTGACTTTATGGATAGGCTACCAGTAAATTGAAGTAACTTGCATCTCTTCCACCACTAACATTAGGAAAGGAAGAAAGCTGGAACGGCAGCTCTGTCCAGGAGTAAAGACCATACCTTGCCAGACCTCCACTTTTATTATACCTACTATATATTATTATAGTAGAAAAAGCGCAGAGGAGGAGTTTCCACAAAGATAAAGAAGTTCGAGCTTCAGAGTCTCACATTTAAAAGGTCCTTTCAAAGACCTCAAAGTTATCCTATCAATTTTTATTTATACTTTTAATTCTGCTGTAATTAATACAAATATATATGTGTTTGATTATATGTGTGCACATCTATGCACACCTATGTGTGTGTGTGTAAAATGGTCTTTTAGAATTACAACCTTTATTCACCAGGGAATCCTGCAATCATTAGAAGGACTTCAAGTATTTTTTGACACATGAGCTAAGTCAATTTGTAAAAATTCACAAAAGGATCTCATGCTTTGAAAAAAACAAGTATTCTGGGCTGGGTGCAGGGACTCACGCTGGTAATCTCAGCACTTTGGGAAGCCGAGGTGGGCAGATCACCTGAGGTCGAGAGTTTGAGACCAGCTTGACCAACATGGAGAAACCCCGTCTCTACTAAAAATACAAAATTAGCTGGGTGTGGTGGGACATGCCTGTAATCCCAACTACTCAGGAGGCTGAGGCAGGAGAATTGCTTGAATCTGGGAGACAGAGGTTGCAGTTTGCTGAGATCACGCTGTTGCACTCCAACCTGGGCAACAAGTGCAAAACTCCATCAAGAAAGAAAGAAGAGAGAAGGAGAGAGAGAAAGAAAGAGAGAAAGAGAAACGAAAGAAAGAAAGAAAGAAAGAAAGAAAGAAAGAAAGAAAGAAAGAAAGAAAGAAAGAAAGAAAGAAAGAGAGAAAGAAAGAAACAAAAGTATTCTAATCAATTATATATAGTAATTCTACATAAGTATTTTCTTTTCAGTTGCTTTTTCAATTTACTTATTTATCTCTTTTGTTCTACACTGAAAACAGCTATTTCAGGAAGTAGGGAACTAGTTTTTAAAATATGCCAAATACATGCTCTTTGACTTCATTCATATCATAATAAGATCATTATTCCCATTTTACAGATGTGGAAAAGAGAGCTCAGAAAGTTTAAGTATTCATCTAAAGTATTAATAGACAAAGATAGAATTCAAACTCAATTCTAACTCAAAGTCTTTTTTTTTTTTTTAACTGAAATGCACTATCTTTCTCTAAAGCATGAATCAGCAAACTAGGTTCCACTGGCCAAATCTGGCCCACTAACTGTTTCTGTATAGTCCACAAGCTAAGAATAGTTTTTATATTTTAAATCGGTTTAAAAAATAATATTTTTGACACATCAATTATATGAAATCCAAAATTCAGTGCCCATAAGAAAAGTTTTATCAGAACTGACAGACTGTTTATGTATTTTCTATGACTTCTTTTGTGCTGCAATAGTAGAGCTGACTAGCTGTGACACAGATCAGCTGGCCTACAAAGGATGGCCCTTTTACAGAAAAAGTTTGCTGACTCCTGCTCTAAACCTCTGTAATGACAAACTTTAGCTGAAAGTATAGTCCTCCTCAGATGAAATGTGATACAAGATCTTTAATAAATAAAACTTTTAGGAAAAAAGGCCAGTTCCTATATATAAAATATTGGACCAAAACAGAACGATAAATTTTTCTAACAACTTGTCCGTATAAACTTTTGAGAAAGTGCTTACTGTAAGAACTTCTTGATGTTCTCAGCTTTCAGTTCATCCAAAAATACTTTCATATTATGCTTTGGAGTAATGTTAGTAGCTTCACTGGAGGATTTTATAAACCATCCTGAAAAATACATCCAAAAATAGGCATGAGATATGAGCCTATAGATAGGATTTATTATTCATTATTGTTGTATGTATCATTTGTAAAACACAAATTATCAACATTACTTCTGACATTGAGATTTTCCTGAAGTTTAATTTCTCTTGCTTACTTTCACTGAAAAAAAAAATCATGCAAACAGATTTTTAAGTTACAAACCAAATGAAAAATATTTTTTATCTAACATCAATGATAGGTATTGCTGTTATTCTAAGAAATGTTTTATGAGATAATGAGTACCAAAATAAAATGATATTAATGTTTCAACTAATGGGTATGAACAAGATCTTCTGAAAATGAAGGCAAAAAGGAGATCCACCTTCTACCTTCATAAAGCTTCTATCTTCCTCTGCTGACTCAGAATAAGCATTTAATACATTTTTATGATGAATTAACCATGAATATATTTCAAACATATAAATTATTTCCAAGTGTTGAAGGCAATTCAGACTTCTAATTTTCTCTGTTTCTGAAACTACAACAAACTGCTGTGAGAATTTGTGTTTCCAGTGAAGTAGGCTTGAGAAATCCAAGTTCAGACAGCTACAATGAAACTGCAATTTACCCAACCTCTCTGCCAGACATCCAGTGCATGCATAAGCAGCCAGAAGCAATGGATAGCTAGATCCTGCAATCATTAGACCTTACAGTTGGCTTTTAACCTGAAGGAAATAAGGCAATATTCCAGGGTTTATTTAGAGAAATTACAGGATCTGGGAATAAAATAGTTACAAAATTAGCACCCAACCAGCTTTCGTGGAGCTTTCCAATTATAATTATGGTAGTTCTTAATCGCATGCATACAAATGGACATACATATATATATGCATATTAAAATACATGCAAACGGAAATAAGATTCCACCTGTGCATAAAACGAAAAGACTTGGATTAGAGTGAGGGATCAAGAAACAACACACTGAGGATGAGATGCTTGAACTGAGATCTGAAAAATGAACACGATAAAGAGGATGGAGGCCTGTAGCGGGAGGGGAGAGCAGAGAATCCTAGGGGGTGCGGGGCGGGCATCAATAAAGAACTCTTCTGTGTCAGCCACTGAGCAGGGAATACAGGCACGGAAGTGAGGGCAATACCAGGAAGACTAAAATCCTTTTAAGAGATGAAGAATGTTATGAGCACAGTGTGTGGTTCAAAAATCTTTTAGCAACCCCAAGGTGAAGCTAGTGGAAGAGACTGAATTTGTTTAAACCTATCTGGTCCATGCTCTGTTCTTCTAAATCCCAAAAGAGGGTCAAGAATTCCGAGCAGGAGTGAACTACCTGGTGATACCTTAGACTAGTCCTGTGCATTAAAGTCCAATGAGGAGCATCTTGGTAAAAGAAGAAATAAAGTGGCGAAAATCCCAGTACTGCGCTAGGAGATTTACATGCTATATTCTTTACTATTTCAATAATTTGCAGATAATATTATCCTCATCATAAAATAGGGAAACTAACGCTGAGAGGGACTCGGTAATTTGTTCAAGGTCACTAAAAAGTGGCAAAGTCAAAATTGGAATTTAATAAAAGAGTCTGAGCTCGCCTGTGCTGTTCTGCTTTTTTTTTTTTTTAGAAAGTAAGATTAAGTCTGCAAATCAGTACACAGGAAAAACCGCAAAAGACCTGCTGGTAGAGATCTGTCCGGATCGCTGACCTGGTTCACACAGTTCCCAAACTTGCCTCTGTTACTTCCAAGGAAGAAAGAATGCACTGAGAGAAAAAAAAAAAAAACAAAAAACAACAAAAAAAAACTTCCTTTGCAGCAATGTCCTGAATTCTACCGTACACCTGAAACAGTACGACCCGATAAAAATCTTAAACAAGTCTTGGTGCGCAGCTCCCTGGGCGGCCTGGTTCAACAGCCCTCAGAGGTTGGCGCTCGTCCTAAACCCTTAAAAGTGCCTTGTCTTGCAGGGCTTCCAGCACGTGGAACCTTCCTACGCCTAGTTTCAGGTTCTCTCTGTCCTACCCTCAACCTGAGTGACTGTCCTCCAAGCAACTTGTGGAGAACTCAGCCCTGCACCGTTCCCAGCTACCCTCCTCCTAACTCGAGGGGTGCTCACCCCACATTACCCCGACCTTAATCGCCGCCCCTGGGGAAGACCAGCAACGGGACCCCACTCCGCAGCCGACCCGCGAGTCCCGGAGCCGCAGCACCACAGGGAAGACTCCGAGGTTTGCTCGGCGAGGCGCGCCCCTACCGAAGAGGAAGCCGAGGAGAAAGAAGCCACTCGCCAGCACCAGTGCCCCAGCGCACAGCCAGCGCGGGCGGCGCGCGGTGGCCACAGCCGTGTCGGTTTCGTGCAGGAGATTCCACATCTTAGCGCGAGCGGAGTCGGCCTCCCGGGACCCGCGCCTATGCTGCTGCTCCACTGCGCGCCCTCCGCCCACCACGGCGGGGTAAAGTCTCTCTCACACCAATGCCTCGCTTATCAGCCCTGGAGGCTGGAATTCGCTCCCGACCCTGGGGTCCAGTTTCTCCCCGGTAGCAGTGTTTCTAGAGTGAACTGAACCAATCGGAGCGCGCGAGAGGCAACATCTGCCTTCAGGAGAAGGAAACCCGGCCCCTTTCGAGAGGCGCCTTAAAAAAAAAAAAAAAAAAGTTTCTTGGAAAATGTACAGCTCTTGCTCAAAAATGAGAGGAAGAGACTCTCCTCTCTCCACTCCTATAATTATAAGGAACTTTTATCCAGCTCTGACATTCTGTAAAATCTTTACAATACTCTACTGAATTAAAGTAGAGCAGAGAAAGCCTCGCTTTTTTCCATAGTGAGGAATGGTTGTCATCAGCGTAAATCACCACCAGGCCCTCTTTCCCAGTGAATATTATTGTTATTAATAAACATGCAGGGTATTATCCTCCACTTATATTACAAAACAATTTTTTAAAGAAACAGGCTGGGCGTGGTGGCTCACCTGTAATCCCAGCACTTTGGGAGGCCGAGACGGGCAGATCACGAGGTCAAGAGATCGAGACCATCCTGGTCAACATGGTGAAACCCCGTCTCTACTAAAAATACGAAAATCAGCTGGACGTGGTGGCGGGCGCCTGTAGTCCCAGCTGCTCAGGATGCTGAGGCAGAAGAATCGCTTGAACTCGGGAGGCGGAGGTTGCAGTGAGCCGAGATCGCGCCACTGCACTCCAACCTGGCGACAGAGTGAGACTCTGTTAAAAAAAAAAAAAAAGAAAGAAAGAAATAAAGAAAGAGAGAGAGAGAGGAAGGGAGGGAGGGAGGGAGGAAGGAAGGAAGGAAGGAAGGAAGGAAGGAAGGAAGGAAGGAAGGAAGGAAGGAAGGAAGGAAAGAAGGAAGGAAGGAAGGAAGGAACTTTATTTTCATATCCCAGTTATGTCTGGCTACTGTCTTACGTAATAGACATAAAATCAATCTTGGTTGAATAAACCAGATGAATCAATCATACAAAATTCCATACCTGCTATAAATTCTTAATAATAATAATAGTGATATTTCGAGGGAGAGAATAACTACATGCTTTTTAAAATAAACTGTGTTCTTATAATCCGTGAGAGAATCCGTGAATTGACTAAGAGTACTTTATGGAAGCACTGCTTTTAACAGAACCATGAGATACAGGTAAAATTTGACCCAGTGGAGATGAGAAGAAACACTAGGGGTGGGGGACCAGCTGAGTGGGCAAAGGAAGAAAACTCAAGGTATATTCAAGGAATAGCAAACAGTTTGCTTTGAGAAAGGGAAAGCACAGTATGAGTTAAGTGGAGACAGATGGGATAGATTGTACAGTCTTGGGTCCTTCGATGAAGACTTCCTGAGCAAAGTGAAAAATTTGGGAAAATTAATTTGTCAACAATGAACCATGACAACTCCTAGATGACCTAGAGCAGGAAAGAAGGGAATTTCTTCATGTCTTTCTAACAAAATCCTGAATGTACTATATCTTTCCTAATGTTCCTATTGTCAAATCTCATCAGAGATAGCTAATAAGAGTGACTAATATTTAAAGAGCACTCATTATGAGTGATGCATGCTATGTATGTCACCTCATTTAGTCACCATTGGTACCCTGCAAGGTTTGTTAATTGATTAACTTTTGTGGAGTGCTAAGGAGTTAAAATGAAAAATGGGTTTAGCTGCCAGGAACAGAAACAGGGGTAGACGTAGATGGGAATGAATGTTCCAAGAATAGGGTCAACTGCAAATGGCTCACTTAGCTCCCAAGCATCCTGTTACAAGCACCCAGCTCACAGCCCATCTGTACCCAAGCATCCTGTCTGCAAGCATTCAGCCTAAGGAGCACCCTTATAAAACTCCACTCCAGTCCCTGCCTCTTTGCAGACAGCCTTCCTCTGCTGTCTGGCCAGTTGCTCCCTTGCAATGAGTCTCCCCTTTTCTCTAAATAAATATGCCTTTCTAAACTCATTACTGTCTTGGTATTAAGATAAAATTCTTTTACTATCTGCGTGCCAGCCTCACACAGTTGTTGACCATGACAACTTTCTCAAGAAAACAATTGGCAGATGTTTGTTTTCTGAATCCCCCCGATAAACATTAGGCCATACTATACTTCCTTCTTTAACTATTGGAAAAAGATTGAAGATGACTCTTCATGTCAGAATTTGTAGAAACAAACATGAATTAAATCAAAGTATTATATTAATCTATGAGGTGTGTTCTAGAAAAAAATTAAAATATTTTTAATTCCTCTTATTTCCAGCCTTTTACACATATTTGCCTTTGAAAAATACTTAGTCAAGAAAAATCACTGGCTACTTTATTTATTAAATAAATTATTAAATAATAAATTTTAAAAATTTAATATTTAATAAATAAATTATTAGTCAAAATCTGGCTTTGTCACCTCAAACTCCTGGGCTCAAGCAATCCTCCCACCTCAGCCTGCCAAGTAGCAGAAGCTACAAACACCAGCCACCATGCCTTACTCATTTAAAAAATTTTTTTGTAGAGACAGGGTCTTGCCGTGTTGCCCAGGCTGATCGTGAACTGGTCACAAGCAATCCTCTTGTCTCAGCCTCCCTAAGCCCTGGGAATAAATACATGAGCCACTATGCCCAGCCTCCTTGGCTACTTTGTAATCTGTAAACATAGCATTCTTGAACTCTAAACTGCATGCTAAATAACACAACTTTAGAAGATAAAAATTCTAACTTATTTCTCCAAGTAATTTGATTTTTTAAAAATTTCAATCTTTTTAAATTGGGAGTGATTACATAGCATAGGCATTTATATTTGTTGAATTATTTTTGTCATACGTTAAAAATATGTTTACTTTATTGTATATAAAGTATAAATTTAAAAATTGATTTAAACAAAAAGATAGGGCCATAGATAAATAAGAATGTTCCCTAATGGTTCATCTGAATTCCATTGTTCCAAGTAATTAATTATCATTCTCCTTATGCTAACTTTACCTAAAGTAGGGGAATATTTGCAGAGGGAACTCTGTAGACAAATTTCTTTGCTTTGGAATTTTGAAAAATAGAAAATGTAGTAATACTGTTTCCAATTTAATGATGAAATGGAGTAATAACTGAACATATTTTAGGAAAAAATGCTTGTAATATTTAAATAAAATATATTTTTTTCCTCTGTTAATTTTTATTACTAAAATAAAATGCTTTTTTTTCTTTTCTTTTTTTTTTTTTTGAGACGGAGTCTCACTCCGTCGCCCAGGCTGGAGTGCAGTGGCCAGATCTCAGTTCACTGCAAGCTCCGCCTCCCAGGTTTACGCCATTCTCCTGCTTCAGCCTCCCGAGTAGCTGAGACTACAGGAGCCCGCCACCATGCCCGGCTAGTTTTTTTGTATTTTTTTTTTTTTTTTTTAGTAGAGACGGGGTTTCACCGTGTTAGCCAGAATGGTCCCGATCTCCTGACCTCATGATCCACCTGTCTCAGCCTCCCAAAGTGCTGGGATTACAGGCTTGCGCCACCGCACCCAGCTTTTTTTTTTTTTTTGAGATGGAGTCTTGCTCTGTTGCCCAGGGTGGAGTGCAGTGGCATGATCTCGGCTCACTGCAACCTCCGCCTCCCTGGTTCAAGCGATTCTCCTGCTTTAGCCTCCTGAGTAGCTGGGACTACAGGTGTGTGCCACCACACACAGCTAATTTTTGTATTTTTAGTAGAGGCAGGGTTTTACCATGTTAGCCAGGATGGTCTTGATATCCTTGACCTCGTGATCTGCCTGTCTCGGCCTCAGAAAGTGCTGGGATTATAGGCGTGAGCCACCTTGCCTGGCCAAAACACTTATTTTTCGATGTATACGGAAGTATAAAAATTAAGAAGCTCAAGTACTGTTGCGGGAAGTCAGGGACCCCCAACGGAGGGACCAGCTGAAACCACGGCAGAAGAACATAAATTGTGAAGATTTCATGGGCATTTATTAGTTTGCCAAATTAATACTTTTATAATTTCTTACACCTGTCTTTACTGTAATCTATGAACATAAATTGTGAAGATTTCACGGACACTTATCACTTCCCCAATGAATATCCTTGTGATTTCCTATGTCTGTCTCTACTTTAATCTCTTAATCCCGTCACCTTCTTTGTAAGCTGAGGAGGATGAATGTCGCCTCAGGACCCTGTGACTGTGTCAACTGCACAAATTGTAGAGCATGTGTGTTTGAATATGAAATCTGGGCGTCTTTAAAAAAGAACAGGATAACAGCCATGTTCAGGGAACAAGGGAGGTAACTTTGAACTGGCCGCCGGTGAGCCGGACAGAACAGAGCTATATTCCTCCTCTTTCATAAGCAAATAGGAGAAATATCGCTGAATTCTTTTTCTCAGCAAGGAACATCCCTGAGAAAGAGAATGCTCCCCGAAGGTAGGCCTATAGATGGCCCCTTTTCAGATGTCCCGTCTTTTATAGCCGAAGCCGATGGGATGAAGGGATGAAATAAGCCCTGGTCTCCTATAGTGCTCCCAGGTTTATCAGGTGGACAAAAATTCCCACCTAATAAATTTTGGTCAGACAGGTTATCTGCTCTCAAACCCTGTTTCCTGGTAAGATGTTATCAATGACAATGCCTGTGGGAAACTTCATTAGCAATTTTAATTTCACCTCATCCGGTGGTCCTATTATCTCGCCCTGCCTCCATTTGCCTTGTGATATTTTATTACCTTGTGAAGTATGTGATTTCTGTGACTCACACCCTATTCGTGCACTCCCTCCCCTTTTGAAAATCGCTAATAAAAACTTGCTGGTTTTAGGGCTTGGGGAACATCACGCATGCTGCCGACATGTGATGTCTCCCCCAGACACCCAGCTTTAAATTTCTCTCTTGTGTTCTTTCCCTTTATTTCTCAACCCAGCCAAGACACTTAGGAAATAGAAAAGAACCCATGTGAAACATTGGGAGCGGGTTCTCCTGATAAAGTACCATTTTATACCCCTCTGTCCTTTCCCTTAACATGTCACCATCCAGATGTGAATACCATCAACATTTTGGTAGTAATTATTTGAGACATTTTTCTTCAAATACACACAATACTTCAAATGAAAAATGAAATCATGCTATGCCTTTATTTTTATTTTAAGAAAACTTTTAATTAACATATACAT